CAGGTTGATTAATTTGGCAGCTGTAATAGCTGATGTGGACCTGCTGTCTTAACCCACCCATCCCACCCCAGGGGAGGACATCCATCACACAGTAATCTCGTGTGTGGGAAATTAACGTCTCCTGCCCCTAACCCTGCAGGAGATGGGACCTCCATTTATTCATCCCTATCCGAGAAGACTAGAATATCTAATCATTTCTTGATGTTATAGAAAGGTAGCATATTCTTCTCATTTATTTTAAAGACCTTGAGTGTTGGTCCGGCCGGGGCTCGAATCCTCGATCTCCTGCACAACAGTCCAGTGCTCTATCCATTGAGCTAACCGTTAGGTGGTTAAGACCTGCGGCTTCAAGAATGTTATTAGATACCAATTTTAATCCTATCTGAGTTTATTATGAGATTTGTAGTCATTCTTTACTGGAAAATACATTTTAATGATTGAATATCAACAAATTTTAGGATTTTGCCAGGGAGATGTAATTGTACAGGAGGAGACAGTCTTTGGAAACAACATAACATCAGTGGCTCAGAAAGATGGTGCTATGGGCAGAGAAATTCCTGTAAAGTCCTAAATGGTTAGCAGATTGTGTTTAAGAGCAAATGGGCTTGTTTTGAATTTGCATTTTAGGAGGGACTTCCCCTAGAGATCTGTGATGAAACTAAGAGTACAAGATAATTTATTTTTCTCAACTGAGTTGGTAAATAAATGTAAATTGGCCACCAACGAGATTTTTTTATAATTGATGAATTAGGCGTTGGCCCTTTGGCATTGGCCCTTTGGCTTTGGCAAGGTGGTGGTTAGGAGACCCTTTCCTGGGACAAAAGATTTTGGAAAAATTAACTTGGATGCCTGTGTCTTATTTCATCAGTTACTGTCTGTATAAACATAGTGACAGGTAACAGCATGTTTTACTGTTGAGGTATTTTGACTCTGTTCATGATTTTTCTTTTCCAGTGACCTGCCCTGCCAATTCTGCTTGTTCCTCGAATGGTCCAGGTACTTATTACCCAAAATATTTTGAATTGAATTTGAACACAGTTTAGATGTCTTTATGTAACATGTCTCCTTCCTCATAGATTCTGTATCTTATTTTTCCTTATGACTTTATTTTTTATTTAGGATTCTCACAGTGTCTTTGTAAACCAGGTTGGCTTGGTTATAAATGCTTAGTTAAGGTATGTTGTTAAACATTAAGGTTGAACTTTGGAATCTTACAATATGTTCATAGGAATTTCAATAAAAGCCAGTTAATGGCAGTCTACTGTGCCCAATAGGACCTCTTACCACCAACTGTTTAGCCTGACAGCAGCTTCTAGCATTAAGGTGTTGCCTTTCTATTCCTTTTCGGATGCAGCATGTTACACCTTCAGCAGCTGCTTTTGACAAAAGTTTTTTAAACCCCTGGTTCAGTTTCCAGGGGTTTCATCAATGTTTTCTGCAGGAGAGCAACTGGTTTTCACTGGTTGGCAAAATGTCTTGAACTGAATGTCTTTATAAGATAAACTTTCCTCTAGATAGTCAAACCAGTTGGGGAAATCCATCCGCAAAGCTGGTCAATTTGCCTAATATACTTAATGAAACCCCTGAGTGTCATAATGTCATTTACAGTATAGTCTTAGTGTTCAAGATAGAAGTGATCAATTCTGGAGCATACTTCTCTTTTAATTATATCAGCATGTTTGGTTTAAAGCAACTCATATCAGGATAAATGGTTTGATAAGTAAGCATGAAAATTGACAGTACATACTCAATCAGTCAAAAGGATTTGCATCAGAGGGTGTTTGTTTAGGTTGTTCCCTATCTGGTTTTTAGTATTGCAAAGATAAAGAGATTTTTTCTAGGTGAATGGACATGATTAACATGAATACAATTACCTGAAAACTCTTATGTTTTAATCCTCCAGCATGGATTTCCATGGGCAGTAATTTTTGCTCCTGTTGGTGGATCAACAGTGGTTCTCTTAGTTGTTATTTTGCTCATCCAGAGAAGAAGGTATTATTTTGTCTTGTGGTCCAATCTCTGCTTTCCATTGGTAAATGAACCTGATATTAGCAGACTCTGAGTAAATCGTCTTAGCCAAAATCAATTCTGTAGGTCACCTTGCTCTGAAAACACTTTTAGTGTGAATTTTCTTCCATGCATGTTTCTATGTGAAAGCCTTTTGGCAGAAGAGCAGCATAACAGCCAAGGTTGCCATAATAAAAAAGAATTAAGCTGATTTTTGACTTGTTTGTGAACTCTATGTACTGAAATTAACACTCTTACCCCTAAGAGGGACTAGTATCTTATTTCTCCTTTCACCCCTGAATTACTCAGCGAGGTCATAAGTATGAAGGAAATGATCACTAACTCGAAAAGCTCTTGACTGTTAAAACAAATTCTCCTTGTCAACCCCTTAGGAGATGTGTGGGGAATAGTATAGAGAATATGCATGCTGATGTTGGGTTGTAAAGGGTTAAAACTATTTTCTGCCTCTGCTTTTCCTTGCAGGCGAGGTCAAGTGTCTACACATTATTCAATTCTGTAGTGACATATGTGAGTGTTAGTTATGGTGAAGCCTGGCTCCAAACAGCCAACTGTTAAATCTGTTCCAGGGAGAAAGTGATTAGTACTGCTCTCTCTCAACCTTGTTTCCAGGGTCCTCTCTCTTTCTCCTCTAAGAAGGACCCTGATTGTGGCAGGTCATGTGTCTCCCAGAATTTGGGATATTACAAATAGACAAATTTTTTTGTCAATGCTGACTGGACAGGTTAGGGAAAAACCTTTTGAAAAAGCAATCACAATTTGTTGTTACTGCTGATAGAATTTAATTTTGCTCATGATGAAACTAATTGATTAAATGAATTCGAGGGACCATCCTCCCCATTACATTGTTATGCATTGGTATGTGACCAGCCACGACCATTGTTATTTCTTAAGGGAAGAAGAGAGAGAAGCTTGGAAACAAGGCTGCTGCTCTCTGCACATCACATGTGCTACATGTAATCAATGGCATTCTCTTTGATGAAATCATCAGTACAAAGTTAGGATTTGGATTTTACATTGTCATTAATTATCATAATCACAATTATGGTTTGATATGTATTTGTTATTGCTTAGGTTACAGTTACTTTGAAAAAAAAAACCATCCAAGGTTGGCCATAAAAATCTGCGTGAAAGGGATTATCAAGGTGTAGGGGGGTGAAGGGAGTATTGTCACTTACCAAATCATGTACAAGTCTTGCAGATACAATTTTTTTAAAGAATTTATAATGTGACAGAATTGTAGTAATGTTAGAGTATTTAATTTTAAGTTATTTTTGTTTTGCTTTACCATGTTTTGAAAATTTTTTATAAACTGAAGTGTGAGTCCATTCCTCATGTTTTGCACAATGAAATTTCTAAATACAAACACTCAAGCCTGACTGTGCTAAAAAAAAGAAAACAAATTTATCAAAAAGTTCACTCATCGTTAATCTCGTGTAATGGGTAATGAATCTCTAGCAGCTTTCTTTGACTAAATGCTTCTCAAAAAATACTCAGTTGTAAAGTTATGGTTTCTCAAAACACAACCAGACTTTGTGAATTTAATTCTTAAAGCTTTGAGTTTTTTAGATTATTTTCATTGTATTTTTAGAGTCCAAAACAATTTTAACAAAAAAACGTATACTTAATGTTAGCTTAAAGTGTTTATACGGCCAACAGGGTTTTTATTGTTTTGGTATCTCTTTAACCTGTAAAAAAGTATTCTGAAAAAAAAAAATTGAATCTGACGCTTCTTCACCCTAAAATCGAGCTTTAAAGTTCCCGCTTCGGCCACGCCCAATGAAGTTGACCGCGTAAGGGAAGATTGGTGATGAGTGACGTCACTCCAGGAGCGTCTCGAGCGTCGTGTTGTTACTTTGCTTGACAAACGCAGTACTTTTACAACACATCTATCGGGCATATTTATGTCGCCGAAAACTCTTTACCTTACTGAAAAAAACAGTGAAATGAACCACTGGCGGGATTTGGCGCGTTCCTGACTTGACGTCACGACCCATTCTGAACCCAATCTCTTTTTTGCCCCGACTCACGGTCACCTTCAATGGGCGTGGCCAAAGCGGGAAGTTTAAAGCTCGATTTCAGGGCGAAGACTC